AAAAAAAAAAAAAAAAAAAAAAAAAAATAGTAAAGTTATGACAAAGCAATAGCCAATATTCCCTGTATTGTAAAATATATCTTTGTTGCTTATTTATTTTCTACATAATAGTTTGTATCTCTCAATCCTCTACCCCATCTTGCCCCTCCCCCATCCCTCTCTATATTGGTGAGTCTGTTTCTGTTTTGTTATATACATTCATTTGTTTATTTTTTAGATTCCACATATAAGTGATGACATATTTGTCTTTCTCTGTCTGACTTATGTCACTTAAGCATAATACCCTCTAGGTCCATCCACATGGCTGCAAATGGCAGAATTTCATTCTTTTTTATGGCTGAGTAATATTCCATTGTCTATATATACCACACCTTCTTTATTCATTCATCTTTGATGGACACTTAGTTTGCTTCCATATCTTGGCAATTGTAAATAATGCTGCTATGAACACTGGGGTGCATGTACCTTTTCAAATTAGCGTTTTCATTTTCTTTGGATATATACCCAGCAGTGGAATTGCTGTATCATATGGTAGTTCCATTTTTAGGTTTATGCACCTCATGCCCTTTTCTATGAACAAGGTCCCTGCTCAGATCACCTGCTCAGCCCAGAACTCAAGGATAGAGTCAGGTAGTTGGATTGAGCACTGCTGCATGAATGCTGTATGAAATCATGGCCAGGCTGTATCAGGGAGTTGCCCACCGTAGCTGGAGCTCCTCTGGGTCTGTGGCTCAGCCCTCTAGACACAGGGGTCTGCTCCACTTGGGCTAGCCTCACAGTGGCTCACCCACGTGGGCCGGGCACATACTAGGTCTCAGGTCTTCCCAGTAAAGTGGGGAGATGAATAGTACCTTCCTTCAGCATTGTTGGGAGGACTAAATGAGATTCTGCATGTAGGTGCTCAGCACAGAGTCTGTAAATGCTCAATAGATGCTAATGATTAACACATTATTATTATTAACATTATCACTCTACTGTATATAAAATAGATAAACAAGGATCTACTGTAGAGCACAGGGAACTATATTCAATATCTTGTAATAACCTATAATGGAGAAGAATCTGAAAAAGAATATATATATATATATATATATATATGTGTGTGTGTGTGTGTGTGTGTGTGTGTGCGTATGTATAATTGAATGACTTTGCTGTACACCTGAAGCATTGTAAATCAACTGTATTTTAATAAAACAAAAAACCACCAATATTGCTCTCCCAGTCATACCTTTTTATTCCCAGCCATGTATGTGACCCCACAGCTTGTAATGTCTGGCTGTCCAGCTGTGTGTCATTCTCAACCACTGGCAAGCAGAAGATATTTATAAATCAGATAATGATACCAACTTTCACGTGTGCCTGTACCAGATCACACCCTGAGTTTTTTCTACAAATTAAAAAATAAAGGAAAACCTCTATTTGCCAGAACCTTACAGCAACCTGACCCCAGGATGATGCAGCATCTGGCCATCAGGGCTCTGTTCTGAAGGCCATGCTTTCCCCGTCCCACTGGCTGGGGCTCTGTTGCCCTAGACCTTGGCCCCCCCCCCGAGAGCCCTCTGATTTCCTCCCAGCCTGGCTTCTGCTGGCATTCTTGGGCTCTCACCTGTCTCCCACCTTGGCTGGGCATTTGGTTTCTCTTTGCCTCGTCTCCTTCTCGCTCCTCCATCCATTCCCACAGTGCATCTTGTCATCACTTATGGCTCTCTAAGGATGTTCATCACTTACTGAGGGTTCGTCACATGCTAAGTAATTTATGTATTTTCTGGGAGATTGGGCAAGTGGACAACTGAGGTCTGCAAGGTGGTATCCATCACCAGAGGCCTTAAATGGTGCCAGGTAAGAGAGATGGGGCCTCAACATGAGCTTTCCCTTATTGGATGTATTGGGTATCTATTGCTGCATAACATACTAACACAACATGTAGCATCGCAAAACAACAATAAATATTTATTATCTCACATCGTTTCTGTAGGTCAGGGAATTGGGAGCAGCTTAGCTGCGTGGCCCTGGCATGGAGTCTCTCATGAGGTTACAGTCAGGATGTCAGCCAGGGCTGCAGTCATCTGAAGGATTGACCGGGGCTGAAGGACTCACTTGCAAAGGGGCGCACTCACACGGCTGCAAGTTAACACTGGCTGTCGGCAGGAGGCCTCAGTTTCTCATCTCTTAGGCTCTCTCCTTAGGGCTGCTTAAGGGTCCTCACAACATGATGGCTGCCTCCCTCTAGAGTGACTGATGCAAGAGAGCCTAAGGTGGAAGCAGCAATGACTTTTATAATCTCAGAAATCACACGCCACCACTTCACCACATCCTATTTGTTTGAAGTGAGTCACTTGTTCTGGCCCACATTCAAGGAGGGAGGCATTAAGCTTCACCTTTTTTTTTTTTTTTTAATTTAAAAAATTTTATTTTTGGCTGCACTGCGTGGCTTGTGGGATCTTAGTTCCCCGACCTGGGATTGAACCCAGGCCCTTGGCAGTGAAAGCGTGGAGTCCTAACCACTGGACCACAGGGAATTCCCTAAGCTTCATCTTTTAGAGAGAGATGTGTCAAAGAATTTGTAGACATACTTTGAAACCACCCTGTTGGACCTCTGAGACCCCTTCTACAGGGCTCAATGCAGAGTAGGGACTCAGTAAATGCTGTTGCCTTAACTATAGGGCTTGAATACAGGAGAAAGGCTTGCCTGTCTGCCTTACCTTCTAGTTCCATGTTGCAGACTTACTAATGCTCTGTAACATGGCTGGTATTTCCACCGCACTCTATTCCATTCTGCTGGCCCCAAGTATGATCTGGGACTTGGGTCAGGGAACGGGCTCTCCTGCCTCCAGATGAGGGACCAGCCCCATGGGGAATGCTCACGTCTTTCCTCTCCTTCAGCTGCACATAGCTGGAGCCAATGGATACCTGCGGGCAGCCGAGCTCCTCCTGGACCACGGGGTGCGCGTGGATGTGAAGGACTGGGATGGCTGGGAACCCCTGCACGCGGCTGCCTTCTGGGGACAGGTAGTTGTCACCCACAGGGCTGTGAAGGAGGCCAGCACAGGGTCAACCTGCTGTCCTTTGGGCTGGAAGCTGGTTCAAAAGAACACAAGACCCACTTAGGGTGTTGGCTACGGCTAGTATGTGGGATATGAAAAGACCTAGGGAGTTTGCAAAAATTATTGACGAGTTGTGTCCTAACAAGACAACAATCCAATTTGCTGGAAAATTCCCCACATTTCTGCCTTGAATAGTTTCTCCATTTGTTTCCCAGATAGAAATCTCTGTGGCTTTCACCATTCCTCTTTAAACACCTGACAGCTCTGGAGTTATAGCTGACTCCTTCTTCTGTCCCTTGGTATGGCCCAGACATGCTAGAGGCGGTGTCAAGCCAATTGCATTTGCTGGGATTCCTGACTTTAAGGGGCAGAGCCTTCCCTGGGAGTCAACTTTGCCCCACCATTCTTTGGATCGCATCCTAAGAAGCTTTGAATGCTCTTTCCACCTCCTAAGCTTTCTGAGCCCTAGGCAGGGGTGAACCTCGGCTTCTTCCTGTGTTTCAGATGCAGATGGCAGAGCTATTGGTGTCCCATGGGGCCAGTCTCAGTGCTAGGACGTCCATGGATGAGATGCCAATAGGTAAGTTCAGGACAACACTTGGTACATACATAGGCATTCATTGATTTTTTGATGAATAGAGGATAAATGGTTAAATATATGGTTGGATAGATGGTGGGTTGGTGTGTGGTTGGATAGTTGGATGAATGAATAAATTAATGGGTGGTAGATGGATGGATGGATGGATGGATGGATAAATGGATGAATGTATGTATGAATGAATAAGAGGATGGGTGGGTAGAGAATGAGTCTATGGATGGATGACTGGTTCAGCAAATAGGTAGACGGCTGAAGGAAAGGATGAGGTGGATTGAGTGGGTAGGGATGTATGATTTCAGCATCTTTTCATAAGTTCTTGCTTGGGCTACATGGGGTACCTGCTTGTTTCTCTTGATACTTTTTGTGGGGAATTAATGACTCCTCTTGGAAGCTATCAAAGGTGTCTGAATCCTTTGGTCATAACTGGGAATTGGGACTGTACATGGGACGTGGGTTTCCTCTTCTTACACTCCTCTAAGGATTGAGTCGTAGCCCAGGAAATAAGGCTGGCACTGTTTTCTCCCCTCCTCCCATGTCCCAAAAGATGCTGGGAGTTTTCAGTGGGTTGGCGTGGCAGCTCCTCTGGTCTGGAGGGCCCTCAGGGGCCACAGCCCCCTGCACTATCCCCCACCATGGGCTCCTTTGCCCCTTCAGACCTGTGTGAAGAGGAAGAGTTCAAGGTGCTGCTGTTGGAGCTAAAACACAAGCACGACGTGATCATGAAGTCGCAGTTGAGGCACAAGTCATCCTTGAGCCGGAGGACGTCCAGTGCGGGCAGCCGCGGGTGAGTCAGGGGCAGGGCAGCCGGGGCGCCCGAGGATGCCCCCACCCATGGCGCCTGGATGCAGCCTCTCAGCATCCCCCCACCCCCACTCCCCTTAGGAAGGTGGTGCGTCGAGCCAGCCTGTCGGACAGAACCAACCTGTACAGGAAGGAGTATGAGGGAGAGGCCATACTGTGGCAGCAGAGGAGCGCAGCCGACGATCAGCGGACCTCCACCTACAATGGGGACATCAGGGAGACCAGGACAGACCAAGAGAATAAGGACCCGGTGAGTGCCTGCCTCCTGCCCGGCCCCCGTCTTGGTCACTGCCGTGGGAGGGGGACAGGGCCCCAGCCTGGTGTTGCCTCTTCATCTCAGAGCCTTCAGAGGGAGGTCAGCTGGCCAGTGCCCTTAAATCAGCTGGATCCTGTCTGATGTGGGCAGCTATTGTGGTTAATGGGGCAAGCGTAGGGTGTGTTCGTGTCGCAGCTGGGAGACTTGCACACAGTAGGGACTCATAATTGCCAGGGAGTGAGTGATCACCATGTGCCTGCTTGGGCTCCAGCGGAAGAGAGATTTAGTTCTGAGCGTCCCAGAAGAGAGATTTAGTAGGGCCACCACCCTGGGAGAGAGGACACTACAACTTCTTTGGGGGAAATATAACAAGATGTTGAGAATTGTGTTGAGACATCAGGTTGGAAGAAAATTTTTGAAAAATAGTAAGGGGCTGGCAGGACATCTAAGAAGCCGGCTCCAGGAGGGGCCAATGGTCTGGGCATTCAACCGCTTTCCTAAGAGGATGCTGTATTAGTTTCTGAGAGCTGCTGTAACGAACTACTGAAAACTTGGTGGCTTGAAGCAACAGAAATATATTCTCTCCCAGTTCTGGAGGCCAGAGGTCTAAAAATCAAGGTGTTAACAGGGTTGGCTCCTTCTGGGGTCTCAGAAGGGAAATCTGTTCCACGCCTCTCTCCTAGCTTTTGACGGCTCAGGCATTCCTTGGCTTTTTGCTAGCAGGCCTCCAGTCACTGCCTCTGTCTTCACATGGCCTTCCTTGTATATGTGTGTGTATCTCTGTTTTCTCTTAGAAAGATACCAGTCATTGGATTAGGACCCACCCTCATCCAGTATGACCTCATCTTTTTTTGTTTTTCCTAACATCTTTATTGGAGTATAATTGCTTTACAATGTTGTGTTAGTTTCTGCTGTATAACAAAGTGAATCCTCTATATGTATACATATATCCCCATATCCTCTCCCTCTTGCGTCTCCCTCCCACCCTCCCTATCCCACCCTTCTAGGTCTCATCCAATGTGACCTCATCTTAATTTAACTGATTACACCTGCAAAGACCCTACTTCCAAATAAGGTTACACTCAGAGATGTGGGGTGGGTATGAGGTTTTGGGGGACACTATTCGACTCAGTACCGATACACTCAGGTGCATGCATGGCTGCAGCCTTGCTGAGAGGAGTGAGCAGGTTTGGGACCAGAGCAGAATTGCTGGGGACAAGAAGGAAGAGGCTGACCATACCAGTAGGGGTCTGCCTTTGTGGTTCTTCCATTACACGATGAGCAGCTGAAAACATTTCTAGCAAGTGTTGCTTTGGAGGGATGCGAAATGTCTCAGTGGGGCCCTGCTTCCCTGAGTGAACAGGGAGGTCACATGTGGGCTTGTCTTGCCAGCTGGAGGGAAGGCACTTTCTCAAGAGAATCCCCATCAAAGCACTGGCTGGGATGGAGCCGGCACACGTGGAGCTTTTGTCTTCCTTCTTCCCTAAGCCTTGGGGGTTGGGAGAGAAAAGAGTTGTAGATCAAAATCGAATCACATTTCAAATGCCTCCCAGCTATGCTTTAATTATTTTTTCTTTGTGATTGATGTGTAACTTGTGTAAAGTACACAAATCTTAAATGAATTTTTCAGTAAACTTACAAACACACACCTTCCGATGAAAGTATAGAGCATTTTTGTCATCGCAGAAGGCTTCCATGTTCCCTTTTCCAAGGACTTCCCCCACCCCAAAGGTAGCCACCATTTAACTTGGAGCACTAAAGATTAGTTTTGCACCTGCATCTGCATATGAATGGACCCAGGCAGTCTATGGTCCTTCGTGTTTGGTTTCTTTTTTTGCGGGGGCGGGGGTACGCGGGCCTCTCACTGCTGTGGCCTCTCCCGTTGCGGAGCACAGGCTCCGGACGCGCAGGCTCAGCGGCCATGGCTCATGGGCCCAGCCGCTCCGCGGCATGTGGGATCTTCCCGGACCGGGGCATGAACCCGTGTCCCCTGCATCGGCAGGCGGACTCTCAACCACTGCGCCACCAGGGAAGCCCTGTGTTTGGTTTCTTTGTGTCTCCGAGATTCCTCCACGTGGTGGCATTCAGCAGCAGTTCATTCTTTTTCATTGTTCCGTAAATTCTATTATTTACATATTCTACAATTTATGTGCCCATTCGTCCGTTGGTGGACATTTGGGTTGTTTCCAGCTTGGGCTATTTTGAATAAAGCTGCTCCAAACATCCTTGTATGTGTCTTTTGGCGGACACAAGCACTGTTTTCTGTAGGGTGTTTACCAAGGAGTGTGGTATGAGTCACGGGGTAGGCGATATGTACCTTTCAAAGATCCCACCAAGCAGTTTTCCAGAGCAGTTGTACCTGTCTGCTCTCCCTTCAGCAGTGAATGCGCCTTTCTTGCCAGCTGTTGGTATAGTTAGTTCTTTTCGTGTGAGCCGTCCTGGTGGGGTTGCTGTGTAGCTCAAATTTTTAATTTGTTTTTCCCTGATGGTGGATGATGTTGAACCTTTTATTGTGCTTATTGGCCAACTGGTTATCTCTTTGTGCTTCATCTGTTCTTTAGCCCTTTTTTATTGGGCTGTTTATCTTTTCCTTATTGATTCATAGGAGAGACTGAGATTCTTAAAGAAACCCTCAGGGGTTTCCCTCTCCACGCCTGCTCCTTTCCGTGTGTTTATTCAGATCCCACAGGCCCCAGGATTCTCTCAGAAGTGCTCATTGATGTGGAGTTTCATAAAGCATTAGCCCTGTAGGGAATAGGTGGAGGGATATGGATGCTGGAGACCAGCCTGAGTTAGGCCTGAGTTTGTTGTTGTTGTTAATTTCTGGAGATTCCTCATCAAGGCTCCAGTTTGTTTGGAGTTGAGTGAAGGCAATCAGATGGGCCACTTGGCCTCAGGGGCTGGGGTTTCAGACCAGGGAAGAGAAGACAGGGTACAGAGATGGCATAGCCAGAAGCAGGCAGTCCTCTCCGAGGTGCTCAGAAGTCCTGTCCTAGGGAAACTGTCAGGGTCCAGGGTCCCTGTCCCAGCCCCAGAGGGAACAAGGAAATCACAGGATACAGCTACAAAGCTCAAAGCTCCTTCCTTTTTTGTTCCTACTACCTTTCAAGGCCTTAGGTGCTGTCAAGGACGTGATAGTCTATAAGGTAGAGATTCTCAAAGTGTGGTCCCTGGACCAGCAGTGTCAGTGTCACCTGGGAACTTGTTAGAAATGCAGATTCTCAGGCACCACCCCAGATGTATCAAATCATAATCCCTGGGGCTGGGGCCCAGCACTCTGTGTTTTAACCAGCCCTCCAGAGGATTATGATGCATGCACGAATTTGAGAACCACTGATCTAAGGGAGTATTTGCTCAGCCTGACTCCCAAGTCAGGTTTCTGCCAAGGCTCTGCGCTATTAACCCCCAGGGCTGGCTTGGGCACATAGTTTTGGCAGAGCTGATTCACTGATAGCAGGCACAGCAGTAATGAGACAACCCCGTCTCTTCAACCAGTGGTTCACAGTCTTAACTGTAAAAGAAAATCACCTTGGGGTGGTGTTTTGTTTTTGTTTTTAAAAAACCTGATGTCCAGGCTGCAGTCCCAACTGATTAAATCAGAATCTCCAGGCTTGGGGCTCAGGCATTGTATTAATTAATTAATTAATCTTTGGCTGCATTGGGTCTTCATTGTTGCGCGCGGGCTTTCTCTAGTTGCGGCGAGCCGGGGCTACTCTTGGCTGCAGTGCGCGGGCTTCTCATTGCGGTGGCTTCACTTGTTGTGGAGCACGGGCGCGTGGGCTTCAGTAGTTGTGGCACGCGGGCTCAGTAGTTGTGGATTGTGGGCTCTAGAGCGCAGGCTCAGTAGTTGTGGTGCATGGGCTTAGTTGCTCCGTGGCATGTGGGATGCTCCTGGACCAGAGATTGAACGCTTGTCACCTGCATTGGCAGGCGGATTCTTAACCACTGCGCCACCAGGGAAGTCCCTATTTATCTATTTAATGAATAGACTTTATGTATTTATTTACTTTTTGACTAGTTTTAGGTTTACAGATAAATAAGTGGGGGGACTTCCCTGGTGCTCCAATGGTTAAGACTCCACGCTTCCACTGCAGGGGTATGGGTGTGATCCCCGGTCGGGTAACTAAGATCCCACACGCTGAGATACAGCCAAAAAAAAAAAAAAAAGGAAAAGAAGTGGGAAGTACAGACAGTTCTAATATACCCTCGTTATCATGCCCCCCTGTTTCCACTATTATTAACCTCTTGCTTTAGTGTAGTATACATGTTATCATTGATGAGCCAGTATTGATACATTATATTAACTAAAGTCCATAGTTTCCATTAGGGTTCACTTTTCTGGTTGTACGTTCTATGGATTTTAACAAATATATAATGTCATGTGTCCATTATTAAAGTGTCATACAGAATATTTTCATTGCCCTAAAAATCCCTGATGCTCCCTATTCATCCCTTCCCAACCTTAGGCAATCACTGATCTTTTTACCGCCTCCAAAGTTTTGCCTTTTCCAAAATCATACAGTATGTTGATTGAATCACACAGCATGTTGCTTTTCAGTTCGGCATTGCATGTGTTTAAAATCTCCCAGATGATTCCAATATGCACTCAAGGCTGAGAACGAGTGTCTTCCATCCCTGCTACTCAAATTATTCGCAGGAACTTGTTAGAAATGCTGAAATTTGGGTCCCAACCCAGACCTAGTGAATCAGAATATACATTTTAACAAGAGCCCCAGGTGACTCATATGCACATGAAAGTATGAGAAGCACTGATTTAGACCATCAAGAATCTGCATCCTCCCATCCCATTTGTCATCAGTTTGCCTGCATAGTTCAGAAGAAGCCACTGAAGAAACAGAAGAAACACACACATAAATGGAAACTTGCTATGGGAAGCATCCCTCTCCTTACCATATTTTAATCTAATTATATATTTCTTGGACATCTTTCCAAGAAATCAGATTCTTGGAATCACAAGTCAGCACATAGAGACTTCCTTCATTTTTTCCTACCAGCTCCAGAACAGTCTAATACAAGTACTTGCCATAATTTCCCACCTGCCTTATGATGGTTTTCATGCTCCCCTGAGGGAATCTATCTGTGAAACAAAGTCCTAGAAATGGGCATGCTTGTGCAAAGTATGTATTTTTCTTAAAAAAAAATTTTTTTTTTGGTGGATGGTGTGACATTGCCCTCCAAAGAAGTTGTGGCAGTTGACACTCCCGTCTACTTCCCACACCCTTGCAAGCACTGAACAGTAACAAACTTTAAAAATATTTGTTGGGAATTCTCTGGCGGTCCAGTGGTTAGGACTCTGCACTTTCACTGCCGAAGGCCCGGGTTTGATCCCTGGTCAGGGAACTGAGATTCCACAAGCCACTCAGTACGCTTCCCCGCCAACCAAAACAAAAATGTGTTGGGACTTCCATGCTGGTCCAGTGGTTAAGAATCCACCTTCCATTGCAGGGGACAGAGGTTCAATCCCTGGTCAGGATCCGGGCAACTAAGCCCATGCACCAAAACTACGGATTCCGCGTACCGCAACAAAGACCTGACTCAGCCAAAAATAAATAAATAATAAATAAATAAATATATTTTTAAAATTTGTCAATGTGATGGGTAAAAATGATATTTTGTTGTTTAAATTTTTATGTCATTAACTATTTGTGAGATTGAATATTTTTCCTATATTTATATGCTATATAGATCTACATTTTGCTGTGATCTGCATATTAATGTCCTTTGCCTGTTTTTTCTGTTGGGTAGTTGGGCTTTTTCAAACGGACTTTTAAGAGCTCTTTATACATTTGGAAATTAGTCCCTTTTCTGTCTTATAGGTTGTAAATATATTTCTAGTTTTTCATGTGTCTTTTGACTTTGTGATTTTTGCCATGCTTTATATTTTTGTCACAGTCAGATGAATCTACCTTTTAGTCATAGTTTCTAGGCTGCAGCTACTTTTTTTTTTTTTTTTCGGTACGTGGGCCTCTCACTGCTGTGGCCTCCCCCGTGAGGAGCGCAGGCTCCGGACGCACAGGCTCAGCGGCCACGGCTCACGGGCCTAGCCGCTCCCTGGCATGTGAGATCTTCCCGGACCGGGGCACGAACCCGTGTCCCCTGCATCGGCAGGCGGACTCTCAACCACTGCGCCACCAGGGAAGCCCTGCAGCTACTTTTAAAGCTCTTATTACCCAGGGATTTCTAGATATAAAAGATCTCTGGGTAAGAGCCTCTTCCATTTGTAGTGGAGATATACCAGGGGCTAAGAGGAAGGATTACAAGTGACCCAACTAAAATCGACCTACACAAAAAAGAGATGCATAGGCTTATGTAACTGGAAAGTCTGGGGCCAAGTGGATCCAGGGGCTCAAAACATATCATCAGGATGCAGTCTCTCTCTCTCAGTCTCTGTCTCTCTCTCAGTCTTCCTTAGTGCCGGCTTCACAGCCAAGTAGACCCTTTGAAACGGGATCTCCCCAGTACATCATTCTTACCAGCGTAGTTCCTACAGAAATAGATCTGCTCTTTCCCAACTTTTCTAGCACAAGTCCCAGGGTTGAGTTTCACTGAACCAACTTCAGTCAGGAACCCACCCCTGAACCAATTCCTGTAGGGAGTTTATTGATTGGCCAGGCCTGAGGTCATGGTCTTTTGCCAGGAGCAAAGGTGGGAGTTGGTCAACTCTATCAAAACCCATAGATTGGTGAGTTCCGCAAAGGAAAATAGAAGTCTTATTACCCAGGTAGGGAAAACGGATGAGGACAGGCCCAAACAATCATGCTTTCAGCAGAGGCACAAGTGGGGTATGGGTTCAGATCTTCCAGCCAGCTGGTAACGTTGTCCTTGTCACCCTCAAGAACCCCAGGCTGGAGAAGCCCGTGCTGCTCTCCGAGTTTCCTACCAAGATCCCACGAAGTGAAATGGACATGCCTGTTGAGAACGGCCTCCGGGCTCCGGTCAGCACCTACCAGTACGCGCTGTCCAACGGGGACGTCTGGAAAGTGCATGAGGTGCCGGACTACAACATGGCCTATGGCAACCCTGGCATGGCAGATGCCACCCCGCCCTGGAGTGGCTACAAGGAACAGAGCCCCCAGACGCTTCTGGAGCTGAAGCGGCAGCGGGCTGCAGCCAAGCTGCTCAGCCACCCCTTCCTGAGCACCCATCTGGGTAGCGGCATGGCCAGGACGGGTGAGGGCAGCAGCGAAGGCAAGGCCCCCTTGATTGGAGGCAGAACTTCCCCGTACAGCAGCAATGGGACCTCCGTGTATTACACGGTCACCAGTGGAGACCCCCCACTCTTGAAGTTCAAGGCCCCCATGGAGGAAATGGAGGAGAAGGTCCACGGCTGCTGCCGCATTTCCTAGTCCCTGAGGGATGGAGGGGAGGGATGCTTTGGGGAGAGGGTCCCTGGAATCCAGGCCAGCCCAGCAGCCCTGGCTGGGGAAGCTTCAGAGGGCAGCTGGGGGGAGGTGGGCTCTGCTTTCCAGAGGAACGCTAACCTCGCCTCTCAGCCACTGCCCATAGCATCACCACTTCCCACGGTTCTGCTTCTTGCCGCACTGTCTGCCATCAAAAACAAGGCCCATAGTGGCTTCCTGACTCATCCTGCTGTCAGATTTCGGGAGCACGGGCTGGGATTCCAGTTCTGTTGTTGGTAAAGGCTTCTCTGGACCAGTACTCACATGTGACATATCAACACACAAGCACACATGCACACACAATCAACATGTGTAGGGATGACACAGCTGGGCTCATGGGAAGCAGGTGGGACTGAGAATTTGTGGGCTCTTCCCAAGAGGACTGAAGTTAAGACTCAGTTTTGTCGCCACTGCCAACATGGCTTTAGCAGGGGAGGAGGCCTGCTAAGCTGATACCTGTCAGCCTGCCCAGAGCCCTACCAGGGTTTGGTATCATCATCCACATCCGGCAGGAACAGGAGGTCCTCTCTGCGTCCAGAGGGAGCTATGCACCCACGTTGGGTGGATGACCCGGGCGTAGGCCTGCTCCCCACAGCCTTGCTTGTGCCAAGTGCCAGCTGTGTGAGTGCCCAGGGGCCAAGGTGGAAAACCTGGCTATTCCAATCCTGGAATAATCCAAATCATATTTTGCTCTTGGGTGGAGGCATCAAAAAATGGAGGGGAGAGAGAACAAAGGTAGTGTTTCCAAAAGTGCATTTGATGAAAGAATTCTTTTAGGCTACAAAGCTCCAGGTTGGGAAGGGGGTCCATTGAATTAGCTTGCTTTCCTGAACAGTATCACGATCACTAGGTTTTACTGGCTGGTGTTGGACAAATGAAGCTAAGCCAGAAACTTCAGTTGGAAGGGCTTTTCCAGGGAGAGAGGCGAATTCATGTTGTTAATTTCTGCAGACATCTCTGGTAACCATGACAGAGCCCAGCGCCCTGGCCAACCTTTGTGAATATTCGGCTGATTTCAGTCCAGCCTGTCTCAGCCGGCCCTCCTCAGACTAAGCCATCAGAGTGAGCAGTGGGGGGGCTGCTGGGGCCCCTACCTCTCCCAGAGTGAATGCTCAGCACTCCCAGCCCAGTTTTGCTTTTTCTGGAATGCTTGGTGAGACGGGTTTGCCAGTTGGCCCTTGTGAGTTCCTGTCTGGCCCAGGGGCTCCCATCCTGCTCCTGCCAGAGTGGTGACAGCCCAAGGCTGAAAATCCAAGGTGCACATGGTCCAACACCCTGCACTGCATTCAGGAGAGCGGTGGTGGGGCTGTAGTTGGGTCTTGCCCCAGCTCTACTATTTCATAGCCCCAATCTTTCTGATGCTGGGGAGGGAAGCCTATGAGAGACAGGCTGCCTGCCACCTCTCCACTGCATTCTCTCATGAGCCCCTTTGAAATTGTTGCCCATGAGTTGGGTGCTGTCCGTGGAATCAGCCAAAACCTTCTGGTATAACTAATGAACTGCAGGTTTGTTTCCTGCTCTGTGCACCCTTTACTTGTCTAAAACTACCTCTTTAGAGCTCTGAAGAGGCCCCTGAGGTCCAGATTCTGGAATTTGGGGGACAAATCTGGGTTTCCTTTAACCCTTTTCTTTCTGAGCTTATGAGAAATTCTCACCGAGGGACATCTGGGCCAGAGGCTGGGGCTGGAGGAGCCCCCTTGTGCCACAGTCCTAGTAATGAGGTCTGCTGTTTGTCCCAGTCCTCCACTGTGGTCGCCATGGCTCCCATAGCCCAGAGGCAGAGCTGGATCCCAAGGGCCTTGCTGATGCTGTACCAGGAGCAGGGCAGCTGGGTCAGAGAACAGTGCTCCTGGATGCAGGGAGAGTCACAGCACCAGGCCACTCCCACCCCAGCTCCAGGACGGATCCAGTCCAGGGTGGAAAGGCAGGTCAGGCGACTTCAGACAGGTGTGCGTGACACCTGCCACATCCCTGGGGTCTGGGGCTGACTCTCCATCTTCTCATCCTATGGCTGGAGCAGGGCAGGGATGATTCAAAACACACATGCCTTTTAGGCTTTAAAATAGTGTTCAGATCAGACTGACACTGAAATTCGTCTTGAGCCGATTTGAGCTGCAAGCTGGGAGGTGCTGAGGGAAGACACACACTCCTAGGAGAGAGCTGTGTATGTTTTCAGATCTGTTTGCTCAGGGGCCAGAGACTGAAGGTATTTATTGCCTGCTCTGAGCCCTTCTGGCTATTCCCTCCTTCCTCCTTTGCTTCCTGCCTCCTGGGCCATTCCTCTCCCACCCAGAAGGCTGGGAATACCAGCTGATCCCCTAACAGGAGCCAACTGCAGACTCTTGGGCTTTAGCGCGTGTTTTCAGTCGGGGATAAACCATTCCCTTCAAGTACCTGGGGGAACTTTCCCTGTGGGTGTCCTCGGTGTTGAGGGACAAGCTGGGGCCAAGGTCATTCATTTATTCACTCATGTAGTTTATTGAGTAGCTGTGACTCACCAGGCACTGTATTAGGTTCCAGGGATAAAGGAGGAATGAGAGAGTGAGGTCTCATCCTTTGATGATGGTCATGACCATCCTCATGGTCATGAGCATCAACAGCCCCATTCAGTTCACCTGAGACAGAAAGGCTGCATCCTAGTCCAGCAACCCTTTGCTTTTCTGCTCCTAGAATCCCTAGCGTATGAATTCCTTTAGCTGGGAAGCTGCTGACATCGCCAACCCCTGGATAACATTTGCCACTAAATGGAGATGCTGGATCTTGGGTTCCAGGCAGATACCATCCCAAGTCCACCTGGGACTTTCAAGGATAACTGCCTTTAGGCCAGCATCTTTCAGCCACTGTATAATACCAGTTTGAAGTCAGTGTCTAGAAGAACAAGGAGTCTGGAACTTGTTGCCAAATGCATCTCAGGTTCTCAAGCTCATTGTCTCTTCCTCATTTTTGCTCATTTATTACCTAGTCCCGCCCCACCAACGGATATTGGGAGGAAAAGGAGCTTCTCCTTTAATATTGAAAACTTTCCTCATGAGTCTGCCTCTATTCCTGGCAGGTGTGGATCAAGGAGCAGGGAGAAAGCTGGCAAGGTCGACCAGATGCCCAGCTCCCGCTTAGACCCAGGTCTGGTGGCAGTTCCTGGCAGATTAAAGGAGGCTACTTCTAAAGCATGTGCCACATGGCTCCCTCTGAGCTCTGGCCCTTGCTCCCACCTTATGCCCCAAACAACTGAAAATTGGTGGCTATCACCAGAGAGTGAGTTTCTGGCCTGAGTGTAACTCCAGGAAGTTGAGTGGACCCTGAGCCCAGGTCTTCTGAAGACTTCAGGATGTAGTTCTCCATCAAATATGCAGCGTTGGTGAAACTGCTCTGTACTGTCTGATCAATTTCAATAGGCTTAGAAAAGTTAACAAAGCTGTGTCCCGTCCTACCCACTAGTTTGCTGGCCTTGTAATAACATGAGACCATTTTGGTTATTGGTGTCAGATATCTTTTGATCTTGAGTTCTCCCTCCCACTTGCTTTCCCAGAGCAGAATACTGGGACACTTTCCAGAAGGGCGCTCCTTACGGGATGCCCAGAAGGACTGTATTTAACTCTTGCTATTGTGGCTTGGGGACAGCCTCCCCTCCCCCAGAGCACATAAGAGCAAAGAGTCATGTGGTCAGTGGGTGACTCCGCAGAAGTGACCGCCTCTGCTAGAAGCTTTCCTCGACAGTCTCTTGTTGGCCAGTTGGCCGGAGGGCCTGCTTCCCATGGGCATTGCAAGTGCCACAGTGTGGGGCCTGGTTCTGTGCACCCAGGAAAAGTCTGTAGACCCACAGCCCTCCGCAATAATTTACCAGACCAGAAGCCACTGATGTACAGAGAACATTTAAGAAAAATGTATTTTATGTGAAAAAAAAAAGTTAAAACTCTGTATACTGTATCAGCAGCTTTGTGTAAAAATGGCAATCAAGAGAGTCTAATATATTTAAAACTTTTTTTAAAAAAAATCCTTGTGGATCTTTGATATTGTATTGAAGTAACTTCCAGGTAGCACCACGCCATGCGGGAGTGGTGAGCCCCGTGTTCGAGACTGTGGCTCGACCACATCCCAGAGGGGCACGCCCCTGGAGTTGCTTCCAGCTGCCAAGGCCTGTGACAGAATTCGCTGTTAAGAGTTTTTAATTAAGATTATTAAATTCCTTTTAATAACACCTGTTTAGTGTGGCTGTGGTCATTGCTATGAGCTCGCTTGAACCCTAATGATTTGAATTCACAAAACGGTGGTGCCTGGGATAAAGGGTAGGGGAGGGTTCCAGGTCCCTGATCCCACCACAGAGGGCTCTCCCAGTTGGCCCCTGAATCAGAGGGAGCTCTGAGGGCTCAGATTCGGAGAGGTATCTTTCTAGACTGCAAGAAGGTGAAACCTGGTGAAGTCAAGAAAAGAAGGGTGGTTGAAAATGAGCTTCACTCTGTCAAATGCTTCTTTTGAAATTAACATGGAGCCCTATAATAGCTCATATAACATTTTCCCCCACACTTTCACATGGTTGTCTGATGACACATTTATATGTAGCAGGGCTGCCCTTCTCTTCTGTTCTCTTCTTGGAGTGCACTGACCTGTCCTATCCTCTTCTCCGCACTCCACCCCAGTCCTTCTCATACAGTTTATAGTGGGGAAGGAAAATACTACATACTACACATTATTACAACAATTCAGCAGGTGAGACCGTGGTTATTCTCACTTCTGACCTTAGGCAATGGAAAGATTGACAAACTCTATGATTGCACAGCCCCAGACAGGGGTCATTGTTTTCATCACCTACAGAAGTTTGTTGGTGTCTTGGAAGAGGATGAAAAAGGATGCTGTCTTGGACCCTTCTGGATGCTGGCTGCCAGAGCAGCGACACATAGAAATCTCCACACTTGGGCTTGAAAAATTTCATAAACAGGCTGGGTATGGGGAGACAGGGGAAGAATGGAAGTATCTTTGTAGCAGCGGACATTCATCCATTTAAAAAAGTATATCGAGGGGCTTCCCTGGTGGCGCAGTGGTTGAGAGTCCGCCTGCCGATGCAGGGGACGCAGGTTCATGCCCCGGTCCGGGAAGATCCCACATGCCGCGGAGCGGCTGGGGGACTTCCCTGGTGGCGCAGTGGTTAAGAACCCCCCTGCCAGTGCAGGGGACACAAGTTCGAACCCTGGTCCAGGAAGATCCCACATGTCACGGAGCAACAAAGCCCGTGCGCCGCAACCACTAAGCCTGTGCTCTAGAGCCCACGAGCCACAACTACGGAGCCCATGTGCCACAACTACTGAAGCCCACGTGCCTAGAACCCGTGCTCTGCAACAAGAGAAGCCACTGCAATGAGAAGCCCGCGCACCGCAACGAAGAGTAGCCCCTACTGACCGCAGCTAGAGAAAGCCCGCGTGCAGCAACGAAGACCCAACGCAGCCAAAAATAAAATAAATTTATTAAAAAAAAGTATATTGATACATGATAATGGTAATGTCTCACATTTATGAAGCACTTTACAGTTGTATATATGTCTTCTCATTTACACAAAGAAAATGAGGCCTAAAAATTGGCTATTAGATTTAACACCGTGGAGCTCATGACAATCTTTTTTTTTTTTAAGATTGTTTTTTTTATGTGGACCATTTTTAAAGTCTTTATTGAACTTGTTATAATACTGCTTCTGTTTTTTATGTTTTGGTTTTTTTGGCCGTGAGGCACGTGGGTTCCTAGCTCCCCGACCAGGGATCAAACCTGCAACCCCTGCATTGGAAGGCAAAGTCTTAAGCACTGGACTGCCAGGGAAGTCCCTCACGATGATCTTGACAAGAGGTTTTGGTTGGGCAGTGTAGGAATCAGCCTGATTGGACAGGATTCAAGACAGAATGGGAGGAAGACTGGAGATGGCAAGTATAGACAAGTTGTTTGAGGCTTTATGCTATAAAAGTGAGAGTGAAATGGGGAGGAAGCTCTAGAGGGATGTAGGGTCATGAGTGTTGCTTGCAGGATGAAAAATATTACAGCATGTTCGTATGCTGATAGGAATGAACCAGTAAAGCAGAGAAATTGATGATCCAGGAAAGAGGAGGGAATTGCTGGAGAGACATAGGTTAGTAGTAGGGGGATTGGCAACTACTGCCCAAATGGAAGGACTGGCATTAGATAGGCTCACAGACAGCTCATCCATAGTAACGGAAGGCCCAGTATGTGGGCAGAGATGCAAACAGGGAGGAAGATGTGGTGGGAGCATGTGGAACTATCTTCCCTGACTGCTATTATTTTCTCAGTGAAATAGAAAGCAAACTCTAAAAGTAAGAATGAGAGAGGAAAAGGTAGAGAGAAGTTAGGGAAATAGAGGCTAGCAGGCAACCTTAAGGGCCCACTTGAGACCATGAATTTCAGGCACAGCTGGTGGGCATGATTGTGTCTTTCTTTTCCCCTGCACTGTATGGCGGCCTGGGTGCAGGAGGAAAGTAGGTGGAGAGTGGGGTTTAACCAGGTTTGGGGTTTTGCCAGGCAAAAAACGAGGAGGTGAGGGACTTCCCTGGCAGTCCTGTGGTTAAGACTTGGCCTTCCCATGCAGGGGGTGCGGGTTTCATCCCTGGTTGGGGAGCTAATATCCCACATGCCTGGCGGCCAAAAAGCCAAAACATAAAACAGAAGCAATACTGTAACAAATTCAATAAAGACTTTAAAAATAATCCACATCAAAAAAATAAATCTTAAAAACGAAGGAAAACGATCAGGTGAGAGAAGAGAAAGCTACCTGAAGGTGTAATCAAAGGAGTGGCTATTATGACGGACCGGTATTTTTGAACGAATGAATGAATGATTTCAATACTGGGGAGTGGCTGGCCTCACCCAAGCTCTGAGAGACCCGGAGAAGCACGGTCAGTGGGTCAGTGTGCCCCAGCAGGTCCCAGCCTCTCCTCCCAGTTCACATTCCTGACCTCCCTGGGCCTTGTAGGGCCGCGCTGTGGGGTGGCCGGCAGGGGGAGCGCGAGGATGGCTGTGGTCGGGCTCTCCGGCTTCAGTTCGGGCTCCCTGCCTGCCCCACCACCCAGGGTACCACGGCCACTCAGGCCTGACATCCGCTCTCTAGTTGATCTTGATGAACTCGGCTCCCCGCAGGACCAGAGCAGGAACGCTACCTCGGAACAGGAACGTAGTCGCCAAGACTAAATTCCGCTGAGCAACCACGGCGAAAGAACGTGGTCTCGGCCGCAGTCCCCCGCCTCTGCGGAGGCGTTGGGTGGGGCAGGGCTGCGGGCGGGGCCGGGCCGCGAGGCAGCCAATAGCACTTCAGGGGGCGGAGTCATAGAGGGGGGCACTGCTTCTGGACTCTGACGTTACAACAAGGCAGCCAATGGGAGAGCCAGGGAGGGGCGGTGCGGCCAATGGCGCGGGCCGGTTAGATTCAAAGGTGCCTATAAAGCGTCCTGCACGCCCGTGGTGGTCCGAGCCGTCTTGTGTCAGAGCGCCGCCATGGCTGTGCGGTCCGATGCCCTGGACGAACTGCCCGCAGCCTGCCTGTCGCCGTGCGGGCCGCCCAACCCGGCCGAGCTGTACAGCGAGGAGCGGCGCTTGGCGCTCGAGGAGCTGGTGGCGGGAGGCCCCGACGCTTTCGCGGCCTTCTTGCGACGCGAGCGCCTCGGCCGCTTCCTAAACCCCGACGAGGTGCGCGCCATCCTAGGCGCGGCCGAGCGGCCCGGCGAGGAGGGCGCGGCAGCGGGGGCCGAGGACTCCTTCGGCTCGTCGCACGACTGCTCCTCCGGCACCTACTTCCCCGAGCAGTCGGACCTGGAGCCGCCGCTGCTGGAGCTCGGCTGGCCCTCCTTCTATAAGGGTGCCTACCGCGGGGCCACGCGCGTCGAGGCGCACTTCCAGCCCCGCGGCACGGGCGCCCGCGGTCCCTATGGCTGCAAGGACGCGCTGCGCCAGCAGCTCCGCTCGGCGCGAGAGGTGAGCGCCGCGGCCCGGCTCCTCGGGTCACCTCGGTCCCGGGTCGGACGGGACACTCCCTTCAAAAACGGGAAACTGAGGTCTGCTAGGAGCGCGAACCGGGTGGTCCCGGGGTCCCGACTCGCCCCACTCTGCGTGTATCCCCTCGGATCCCCGATCCCCTCCCAGGCCGCTCCTCGTGGCAGGGGAGAGTGGGAGGAGGCTCGGTCCCCAAGAATGCGGATTGTGCCCAAGTTCCAACTCCTAACATTCATATTCCCTGGGAGGGTAATCAGAAATCCTGCTAGTTCCAGCTTTCAGTTAAAACCAGTTGTCAGACTGGCTGTCAGCCAACTCTAGATCCCGCTTTCAGGAGCTTCTTAGGAGATGCAATACCTAAGAAGCGCAAAACCTAGGGGAAAATTCCTGAAAGTTGTCCCCAGAGACAACTGCGGGGCATTAGGAATCTCATTGCTAGTCACCTGCACGTGTCTTTTGTTGTAGAAAGCAGATACATACCAGAGTGGCAAAGTGAGCCCCGACCCTTTTTCCTCCTGCGGGCCTGGAGGGGGAGTTGCTCCTTCAGTGAATGGGTGGGGAAGGGAGTTTGCGTTTCCGTAAGCTGGAAAAAAAATGCAGATACCCCTGCATTAAGTCATCTCTCTCTTCACAGTGGGTTTTGGTGCAGTTGTCTGACTCTTAGTGTGACAAGGTATTGGGGTGCGGTGGGAGGTTTTGTCTCTCTGCCAGCCAGGATGAGACTGCAGCAGGGTGCTGGGTACTAGGGGTCTGGGAGGAAGAATGCGGCCCGGAAGGTGGGAGGGGTGGGTAGGGTGTGGCAGCAGGCTCATTCCTCCAGAGCCATGATCAACTGCTACCTCGCTTGCTGACTGGCAGTGCCCAGCTTCCTGGCTGGCTGCCTGTGCCAGGGACATGGCAGGTAAAGCCCCAGGCCACGGTAAGATTTGGTAGGGCTCGTACCTGAGTGTATCTGACTGTGGTTATGGTATCTGTGCGTCAAGGCAGTTGAAGTAGCCAAGAAGGGACAAGCCCTGACTTACCAGTGTCCCTGCGCCAGGTGCTCTTTGCCTGATGGTGGGGTTGCAGTGGGTGGGGGGTACGGTAGGCTAGTGCCTTGCCTTTGTGGAAGTAGGTGTGGGCTCCAGCTAGGCTATTATGAGTCCTGCGGTGCTTTGGGTGTGCTGAGGGTCCTTTTGATGCAGCAGACACTTGTGGGTTCAGTGGGAAGATTGAAAAGATGGAAAAAGACACCATTTTAGGATAGGTGTGCATTCCCAACGATCACGTCTAGGGGGAGAACTTGGGCACTTGGAACTTGAGAAAAGTAATGAACGGGTCTCCATGAAAGAGAGAGGAATTGCCCTATCCTCTTGCTTACATCCGATTTTTAGTGGTAGTGGAGGGGCACTGGAGCTAAGACCAGAGAGAAGACTGTCCATCAACTCATGCTGGTCTTAGGAGGGGCTCAAGGCTGATGCTCAGACACCTTTGTCTTGTGGGCATTCTGTAATGCATTCCTGGGTAGAACCTCCTGCCGTGCTCTGTGCCCTAGTCCAGCTTCACACTTATATGTTCAAGATTCTGTATTTGGAACCTGGGCAGTTTTAACTGAGAAAGGTGGTACGTTACCTTTAAATCTGATGAGTATTTTCAGTGTCTCTGCCATATGCCAGATTGCTTGCTTATTCAGAGCCTACTGTGTGTTGGACACTGTGCCCCAGGGGCTGGGGCCACAGGTGAAGGACACGATCCTTGCTTGCACTTGAGAGTTGACGGTCTGCTGGCGGGAAGCAGTGAGGAAGTTGCTGCAGGCTGAAGAAAGCTTTAGGGGTGATGGTGACCTTGGAGCTGGGTCCAAGAGGATGGGTGGGGCTTGCCAGACCAGAGGATAGGGACCGGCCCAGAAGTGTGAAAACACCTGGCATTTTGGGAGGCAGCCAGGTTCCTCACAGCTGGAGCAGAGAGTACGTGGGAGTTAATGGTAGGAGAGCAGGCTGAAGGGGAAGACTGACGCCAGACGGTCGAGGGCTTTGCACGCTACTGGAAGGAGCGGTGGGGAGCCATCGCAGGTTTAAAGGGAGGAGAGGAGCTGATCACATTGGGGTTCCTGAGCAGTAAATGCTGGCGAGAGCAGGAAGGGGGATGGGTTAGAGAGGGGTGAGACTGGAGTAGAGGTGGTAGTAAGGAGGGCCTTAGGGATCTACACGTGAGAAGGGGGTCTTAGGGGGTCTGTGCTAAGGCAGTGCTGGGGCTCGGGCAGGGGAAGAATTTTAGGTAGAATTGACACGACTTGGTCATTCGATGGACCGGAAGGGTAGTGAGGGAGAGGGCAGGAAAGTAGGCAAGGCCAAGGAGAAGGTATAGGAAGAATTGAGTTTTTTTAGTTGGGGTGATTGGTGATGCCACAGAATTAGAATACAGGAGAAGAATGAGGCTGAGGGTAGGGATGGGGAGATGAGTGGGATTTGAGACACGCTAAACTTGAGGTCTCAGACACCATCTCTTTTATGTAAAAAAAAAAACCCCAAACCCCAAAACATAATAATGCTTTCTCTGCCAGGCACTGTTCCAAGTAACCCTAAGGTAGGTGCGATTATTAGCTCCATTTTGTGGCTGATGAAATTGAGGCATAGAGAAGTTAAGTTGCCCCGAGGTCACACAGCCAGGGAATGGCAGAGCCAGGACTCAAACCGAGGCACAGCATCTCTTAAGCACTGTCAGCCACCACGCTCTGCCTTGTACCATGTGGAGGTAAGGAGGCGTCACTGTCCCCAGATGGACAGAAATCTGTGGAGGAGACAGGTGTTAGAGAGCTAATCTGGTGGCTGGTCCAATGCGGCTGCTGCTCCAGGTAGAGGTGTGGGTTGTGTACACAGGAGTGGCTGTGTCACTCCGAATACATCCTTTGAAGTCCAGTACCTGTGACGGCGAGGACTGTGGAGATGTAGGTCTCAGGCTGTTTCCGGATGAGATGAGAAGCCATTCTGCATCTGTGGTCAGATGGCCAAAGTGCTTGACGGTGTGATTGAGCACTCATAAAGGGTCAGTTTCTGTGCTAAGCCCTTTACGTGGACTCTCTCAGTTAACCCTCCCCAACCTAAGAGGAGGCCACAATTAAGAAGAGACCAGGCACAGAGACGATAAGTAGCTTCCCCAAGATACAGTTAGTGTGGGACAGAGCTGGGCATGAGCCCGTCTGCCTGGCCCCTGAGCCCGGGTTCTCGACCACTCACCACTCCACAGGGCCCCCTGCCATGAGGGAGGGTTGGTGCTTTGGTAGTTTTCAATAAGCTGGGGTTTTTTTAAGGGTTTCTTAAGATTTGAACTTTTAACTTCCATGTTGCATGTTGAAGAAAAAGGAAAATGACGATGACAGGACTAGATCTCCCCTTGACAGGAAGGAGACTGGAGTGGTCAGGGTACAGGCACAAGAAGCCAGGCTCACTTGGTAAATGGTGGTGTCTGATCCTGGCTCTGCGGCCTCAACGGATGGTTCTGGGATGGGTCTTCATCCAGGACTCATGTTGCTTTTGAGCTGTTTAGGCTTGTAGGGCCTCTGGCACCGAATAGTGCTCAGTAGGTACAGCGGAGACCTCTCACGTGCACCTTTGATCATTCAGCAGGTGAGTTTGCCTGCCTATCTGCTCAGCAAGGACTTGTCCCAGGGTAGGTGGGACCAGGGCTGTGAACCTGCCAGTTCTGCCGTTGGCTCAGTTTCTGCGCACCTTTCAAAGCGTGGGTCTGCTGCGTTGAGTGAGGTACAGCACCTAGAAACACACGATTTATGTACAGCGTGGCTTCTGAATACAAGCTGACTCGGTGCTCAGTTGAGCTTCACCAAAGCTGGAGGAAGTACTCTTTTGGACTTTCCCCCCCCCCCCCCCCCCCCCCACACCATCCTAAAGCCCCTTGGTCATTTGGCCCTGTCCCCGCTGCCCTGCCAGGACTCCCAGCTTGGCCCTGCCTCGGCTCTACCCTCTGGGCTAGGGCCCCTTCTTATTTGGGTTTCCCCCCCCCCCCCCCACACACACTTTGGACTTCTTGAGAGCTGAGATGTCTGCCCTTAGGAGAATTTTGAACTACACAGGATTTCCCCCTTACACACGTACTCTAGAATCTATCCCTGTACTACTGTATTTGTTGATGAGTCATTCATTTCTTTGTCTCTGTTGCCATGTGAATCAGTGTTGGGCTGGGCTCTGGCCCCCACAGATCGGGTGGGAGTGGAGACCTTGCCTGGAAGTGCTGTGTGCCCTCACTTGGTGATGTGTTGTTGCCGAGGCTCTTGGGATATTCCTAGTGTGCAGTTGGGAGCTCACAGACAAAGGTCACCCTGGTAGGAGGTCCTGCACTCTCCAGAGCCATCGCTCTTACCAGCCGCCCATTCCCTACGAGCTTTTGTTCCAAAGGGGCACTTTTGCTATGACCTCACCCTTGGGCATCCTTTTGATAACCTGAGCATTTGTAAAAAGCTGTCATTGTGTTGACAAAGAGTCCTGCCTCCTAGGAGTAACAGCTGAGGAATCTGTTGGAGGCCCCTGGTGTGCGCGTGGATGTATCCAAATTAAGGCCCTCCTGGTCTTGCACAATCCTCCTCTGAGTAGCAATTGAACCTGTGCAGTGTGAGCGGTTCCTATTCGGAACCCAGGGCAGGCTTTCTCAACCTCATCACTATTGACGTTTCGGACAGGATAACGCTCTTTGTTCTGAGGGGTTGTCCTGTGCATTGTAGGATGCTGAGTAGTATCCCTGGCCTCCACCCGGTGGATGCCAGAAGCACTGGCCCCCGCCAAAAAATAGTCATCACATTCAAAAACGTCTCCCCTGGGGAGGGGCTCAGGGGAAGAAGGAGTTACTGCTTTAATCGTTGGGGCTTCAGTTGGGGGTGATAAAAACGTTTTGGAAACAAATAGTGGTGAGGGCTGACGACATTGCAGATGTACTTAAGGCCACTGAATTGTATGCTTAGGAATTGTTAAGGTGGAAATATTATATATGTT